AATGGCTGCCAGAGTTGAGCAACTTGGACTATAATGGGAAGCTGGAAACATTAAAGGTGTCCATGTTGGCTGCCAGGAGGAAAATAGGAGACGCGATAACCAACATATAAGGTCTTGAATTGACTTGAAAGAGTAGATATAGAAGGTTTCTTAGTAACCGCAGCACGGATAACAAATAGAACAAAAAGTGGAGTGGAAAGAATACTAACAATTTCTTCTCAGATAGAGTGGCTGACAGGAAGAATGTATTGAAGTAGTTAGTGATGTGATCATTTTAAAGCTAAGACACCACGAACACAACTCTGCTCTCGGAACTACAAATAGATAATTACACACACACACAGAGCAGCTGTGAATCGACCCCTGCGACCACAGATATGCGAGTACACACACACACACACACACACACACATACACCTACACACACACACACACACACACACCTACACACACACACACACACGCACACACATACACATACACCTACACACACACACACACACACACACACACACACACACACACACACACACACACACACACCTACACACACACACACACACACACACACACACACACACACACACACACACACACACACACACACACAACACCACAACACACACACACACACCACACACACACACACCACACACACAACACACACACACACACACACACACACACACACACACACACACAACACACACACACACACACACACACACACACACACACACCCCACACACACACACACACACACACACACACACACACACACACACACACACACACACACACACACACACACACACACACACACGGTCCATACCGTGTACGCTGTTAACCTGAAATAAACATGAATTAATTAAACATAGTCTGATTTCGTTAAGATGATTCTCAGATCAATTACCCATACGGGGCTCAGCTCTTTCTGCGATTAATAATATAATCGATTATGTCGCCAGATGGTATCTAAAGTCCATGAAACAGTATAGCAAAAGTTAAGGGGACCCTGACTTCTCAAGAGTTTTCTTTCCATATAAACAGAAGCAGCTACTAATGCTTCTCATTGTACAAATTTAAGGCTCTCATTTATAAGTTTTTTTTTTTTTAATTTTCCATAATCACTCTAGAGCATCATTAATTTCGGTTTTCATTTCTGTTCAGGAGCTGGTGGAAGGTTTCTCTTGATCCAAAGAATTGTAGTTACAGGATGTTCCAAAGACCATGAGGCCTGGCTTGAGGAAGACCTACCCATACAGGCCACGGCAGGGCATGGAGGATAAGACCTACTCGCAGGCTGAAGCAGGTTATGAAGGATAAGGCTTATCTACTGAGGCTCTGAAGCAGGATAAGAAGGGCGAGAAACCTACCTAGAGAGGCTGAGGTAGGGCGTATGGAAGACCTACCCACATGTGACGTCGAAGAGATTGCTGCCAACCGATGACGAGACAGCCATGTCACCGAAGCCTTTTCTGGCCACGATGACGGAGGTGATAAGGTCGGGGACGGACGTTCCTGCAGCCAGAATGGTCAGGCCCATCACCTGCAATATAGTTTCAGCATACTCACTCGCAACACTCAGTATATAACAATCTTAATTAACACAACGAATTGCAAATCTAACAGCATTGCGTACCTGCGTTCGTAATAATTTTTTATCATAGAAGCGACTACATATGAGAGGTGGGGCTCGATACCTACCTCAGGTGGAATGTTGATCACCTCTCCGACCAGAGACGCCCACCACACCATCAGATAGGAGAAGGCTGCGATCCACACAATGCTTCCCATGAACGTGATGAAAAAGAACCGCTTTCCTGAGAAGGATTGTGTCGGTGTTAATAGTGCGCAACGATGCAAGGGGAAGCACAGGTCACGCCAAATACGCATTAGAAAGTTGAACAATACCTGGATATCCTTATTTTGAAGTTTTCCAACCAGTGGCTTCTTCAGTTCAATACAGAGCTTATTAACTGAGAGACAATAGACGATAAGGCAAGTCAGTCCCTCAGCCTTGAAGGTGTTGAAACTGGAGACAGTAGATGATATATCTTCAGAATAAAGATACCCAAGTGTTGTTCATGTGTCTAATTCATCAACTTAACATTAATAGTATAAAATACTGACATGATCACATTAATGGAAAAAATATATAATGCACTGACTTACAGAATGTAGCATTAAAGAGGTAGTGATTGCATTGCATTAGAGGCAATGATGTATATTCGTTGCAATTATTTTGCAAGAGATCATGGTTGTAGACAGTCGAGAAATGTAAAATAAGGTTATGGTACACACAAATCAATGGTGTTACAGTAGAGGCCATGGTATTAAAGAATTGGTTATATTACGTGAGGCGGAAAAGTTCACTAGTGTGCACACAAATATTGTGTCCGTGTGAGTATGAGGTGTGAATTATGCTGAAACTCTTATTTCAGAGGAATATAGACGCCAACGCCATCTACCTGCCTCTCCAACCTGCACTTTGGGGTGGTAGGTGTTTTGTGAAGCTAAAAATCTAAGTCGCTACCTGACTCTCTTACAATCTTTTTCTTGCAGCTGTTGCCTGTCTTGATAATGTGATACCTTAGTTTTTAACGTAAAGATGAACTTTATTTTCTCTCGTATATATTTATAGCCTTCATCTTATCGAGTGAGTGAACATCTTGTGAAGATAATAGCTGTGTGTTTCTAGTCCCCATCCTCAGTGTTCTGAGCGGGTCGGCAAAATCTCCAGAGACTGATTGAGCTGCTTTGACTTTTGCCTAAAATAAAAAAGTCAGTGAGCTCAAGTTACCTTCACTTTATACTTTATTACTGTGGAAGTCAACTCTGCGCATGTGAACATCTCCAAAATTCTGGTAGCGATGCTTCTCTGTCTACTCATCAACTCCTTGTATCCGAGACCTCAGCTACGTGTACACTACATCGTGTTGACGTGCGCTTCTCGTTAGAGCTCAGACCTACATTACAATTGGGTATTCAAATCTCAGTCTTCATTCTGAGGTGACCAAATCACTATCTTCCATCTTCATTTGTGATCTTATTTACTTTTACACAAATTGTGGAGAAAATTTCTCTATCAAGGGGGCTTAGCATATCTCTATGTTCCTGCCCTGGCAGTACAGGTGTGGGTTAAGGGGCGTCATGATCTTTTCTTTCCATCAGCAGAGATGAAACATGATCTTATGACTTGCAACGAAGCATCATTAATCTATATCAGGATAGCCATATATCTTACCATGTGGTCCTTAACTTGCAAGATTTAGACTCCTGCTAATGGACGTAGATCAAGAGCAGACAAAATGGATACATGATATTTGCAAATGCACAGCAGCTCTCCCCTCTTACAGGAGAACCTGCAACATAATGTATTCACGTATTTGAGGAAGCTTCTGTTTCCTAAGACTATTAAAAATTTGAAATAATATGGCTCTAACCTGATATTATAACTAGTGACATTAGACTCAATAACCTGCACCTTTGAGTCAAGGAATCCGCATTCTTTGATTCTCAGAGCTGGCATCTACACCCATAGACAATATATCAATAAAAATTCAACTGTAAATGTAGTTTCCTGGGGCTTTAACAGCCAAATTGCGACTGCAATTGTGACCAGATACTATGTAGTGAATGAATGAGTGTCACCAACTAGACCATGCCACAATGAAACGTAGAACACTCATGGTTGTATCCGTGTGTACTTTGTGAAACTCTGTGTACTTTGTGAAACTCAAAGGAAGAACTATTCTCCTTGTCACTTATTCATGCTTGAATGAATATTATGGAGAGCTGAAGCAAAAATACAAAGCTGAAATGCTAACCAATGTTATCTCTTCTAAGCGAGGTATCGCTAATGATTCTCCACACTGTGGACATTATCCAAGGATATAGTTTATAAGCTGAACTTGTGGACGAGTCATGGTCATCAGGTGAAGTTCAACGTGTCAAGTGACGAAAGGAGTGAAGACGTCCAATGTCATATCTTCAATCAAGCCATCACTACTGGCTTCACTGATGCAATAACATCAAGAGCTCCCGCTACAATGAGCCAGGTAAGTCACTATGTCTCTCAACACCAGCCTAACGACATCACTGCAGTGTCTAGGGTTAGGTGTTAGGGGTGTAGGATTAACCAACGAAGCCGTGACACGAGGGCAATTGCCCAAACCCAGGTAAGATTCGCCCACGACTTTCCAGGTGACATACCTGAAATATTGAAGACTATACGTCTTTAGGGCGAGTGTTATAATCGAAGGAGACAGGAGGCTGCGGCTTCTGGGATCTTGAGCTGTCAACATAAAGATGAGTACCCAAGACCAACGGTGCTCATTTTATTGTATTCATTCTTGTACACACGACTAATACAAATAAATTTTACAAGTTAAGAGCTGCTATCCCACCTTATCTCATTTCAAAAATCTATCTAGGGTATACTACCACCCCCCAGGATGTGACCCACACCAATTAGCTAACACCCAAGTACCTACTTACTGCTAGGGTGAGAAGCAGGTGTAAGGAACCATGCCCCATTACAATGGAGCATAGTAATTCAGAACCTGCCTACAATTATGGGCTGTTCCATACCTCTGGCTGGAGGAATCAATGCATTGTTTTGTTTATCTTAACCTTGATTTATATTTAATTTGTTTTACTTTTTCATTATATGATTCAGTAGGTAATAATTCATGTTTACGTATTATATATCTGAGTAACCTTTGTGTTTAATTTTCCAAATGTTTATATATAAGTAATATGTTTTATTTTCTCTATCTTTTCATTAAAATGAAATCATGGTGGAACAGATAATATAAGAATACAAAATAGAAAATTAGAGGCTGGGTCATTGGTTTAAGCCGGTAAAAGACTTGGACTTGCCTCGCATGGGCCAGTAGGCCTGCTGCAGTGTTCCTTCTTTCTTATGTTCTTATGTTCTTATGTTTGTATAGCAAAGGTCTTGGTAGTACCATAGAGGTTATGGTATTAAAACAGAT